AGAGAGAGAGAGAGAGAGACCAGACAGAAACCGGGGCTGAATATTGCTCTGCGTTTCATAATGGTGTGACTTACGGCGCTCCGTCTCGGCCCTTGTTCTGCTAATTGGCCCCGGACGAGCGTTTAGAGCCTCGCCACGGCGTTTGACCCGGATTCAGCAGTTTCAGGAGAGAGCGTCGGGTCGATAGGAATAATAACAGGAGAGGGCGAGTTAGTCCGGGTTTTGTCAGCGCCGATTGAAGCTGATCCTTTGTGGGTGTGGCCTGAGGGAGGGCTCTACTCTGACCCTTTGAGGGGATCACAGGGACGTGTGGAGAGAAGTGTGTCAGTCTGAGGTCGAACAAACTTAATCTGAGCACGTTCTAACTGTGGTAAAACTACATTCTCCACGATAGGACACAGGCATTTAGACTCTCTGCTCTCTCTCTGATCTCGCTCTGGTCTCTCTCTGGTCTCTCTCTGATCTCGCTCTGGTCTCTCTCTCTGGTCTCTCTCTCTGGTCTCTCTCTGGTCTCTCTCTCTGGTCTCTCTCTCTGGTCTCTCGCACAGATCTAAAAAATAAAATACACACACGCACACAGACGCACACACACGCACACAGACGCACACAGACACACGCAGACGCATACAGCCGCACGCAGACGCATACAGACTCACACAGCCGCCCACAGCAGCCCACAGACTGACACAGCCGCCCACAGACTGACACAGCCGCCCACAGACTGACACAGCCGCCCACAGACTGACACAGCCGCCCACAGACTGACACAGACGAACACAGACGCACACAGCCGCCCACAGACTGACACAGCCGCCCACAGACTGACACAGCCGCCCACAGACTGACACAGACGAACACAGACGCACACAGACACATACAGCCGCACGCAGACGCATACAGACTGACACAGCCGCCCACAGACTGACACAGCCGCCCACAGACTGACACAGACGAACACAGACGCACACAGATGCATACAGACCAACACAGCCGCACACAGACTCGCACAGACGCACACAGATGCACACAGACTCACACAGACGCATACAGACTCACACAGCCGCCCACAGACTCACACAGACGCACACACAGACGCACACAGACGCACGCAGACGCACACAGCCGCATACAGACTCACACAGCCGCCCACAGACTCACACAGACGCACACAGACGCACACACAGACGCACACACAGACGCACGCAGACGCACACAGCCGCACACAGACTCACACAGACGCACACAAACGCACACACAGACGCACGCAGACACATACAGACCAACACAGACGCACACAGACGCACACAGACGCACACAGCCGCACACAGCCGCATACAGCCGCATACAGCCGCACACAGCTGCATACAGACCAACACAGACTCACACAGACGCACGCAGCTGCACACAGCCGCACACAGACTCACACAGACGCACACAGACGCACACAGACGCACACAGACGCACGCAGCTGCACACAGCCGCACACAGACTCACACAGATGCACACAGACACACACAGCTGCTCACAGCCGCACACAGCCGCACACACAGACGCACACAGCCGCACACAGACGCACACAGCCGCACATCTGGCTGATCAATGGACTTCATTCTCTGCAGGAAACTCTCCCGTGATGGATTTTTCTTTTTCCTTATGCGCTTTTCTGAAAATTGTGACGGCAATTTTCTGCTCGCTCCAAAGAAGAAGAAAAAATGTTTTGAAAAAGGCAAAAGCAGAAGAGAAGCTGTGGTGTTTTGTCGTGGCAGATGCATGATGGGAAAACTAGGAGTGTTGTGTTTTTGTGAAGGAATCTGCCGGTGGTGGATCAGTACAATCTCTCAAGACAAGGCACGTTTATTAGTGTAGCGCATTACTCAAAGTAACTCAAAGTGCTCAACAAAACAAAAGAGAAACAAGGAGTAATCAGAGTACATTCATAGATCCAGGACTGAGACTGTAGACCCAGGACTGAGGCTGTAGATCCAGGACTGAGGCTGTAGACCCAGGACTGAGGCTGTAGATCCAGGACTGAGGCTGTAGACCCAGGACTGAGGCTGTAGATCCAGGTCTGAGGCTGTAGACCCAGGACTGAGGCTGTAGATCCAGGTCTGAGGCTGTAGACCCAGGACTGAGGCTGTAGACCCAGAACTGAGGCTGTAGATCCAGGTCTGAGGCTGTAGATCCAGGACTGAGGCTGTAGATCCAGGTCTGAGGCTGTAGACCCAGGACTGAGGCTGTAGATCCAGGTCTGAGGCTGTAGACCCAGGACTGAGGCTGTAGATCCAGGTCTGAGGCTGTAGACCCAGGACTGAGGCTGTAGATCCAGGTCTGAGGCTGTAGACCCAGGACTGAGGCTGTAGACCCAGAACTGAGGCTGTAGATCCAGGACTGAGGCTGTAGATCCAGGACTGAGGCTGTAGACCCAGGACTGAGGCTGTAGATCCAGGACTGAGGCTGTAGACCCAGGACTGAGGCTGTAGACCCAGGACTGAGGCTGTAGATCCAGGACTGAGGCTGTAGACCCAGGACTGAGGCTGTAGATCCAGGACTGAGGCTGTAGATCCAGGACTGAGGCTGTAGACCCAGGACTGAGGCTGTAGATCCAGGACTGAGGCTGTAGATCCAGGACTGAGGCTGTAGACCCAGGACTGAGGCTGTAGATCCAGGTCTGAGGCTGTAGACCCAGGACTGAGGCTGTAGACCCAGAACTGAGGCTGTAGATCCAGGACTGAGGCTGTAGATCCAGGACTGAGGCTGTAGACCCAGGACTGAGGCTGTAGACCCAGGACTGAGGCTGTAGATCCAGGTGTGCCAGAGCGTCATGATTTCAGCATGGATGGGTCTAAAACACGACTCCAGGTCAGTGACTGATGAGGAACAGTTTGGGAACATGGCTTAAAAGTTCCAGTCCCTGAAAGAGCAGGAGGAGCTGATCCGTCACTATCTGCGAGCGCCGACCCCATCTGTGTGGCCTCCTCCGCCCGACACGCTCCGCTGGGCCTGGATTATTGGCTCTGTTTGTGTGCGGATAAAGAGCCCAATGAGCAGTTTTGGGGGAAGAAGGATCACAGATGGGCCTTGTCAAATCTGTGGCTCTAGGCCGGTCCACAGCAACACACACATTAACACACACACACACATTAACACACACACACATGCAGATATACGCACACACACACAGACACACGCACATGCGCACACACAGAGACAGATACACACACACAGACACACATGCGCACACAGAGACAGATACACACACACAGACACACATGCGCACACACAGAGACAGATACACACACACACAATAATAATAATAATAATAATAATAATAATAATAATAATAATAGTAGTTATGATAATGGGCGGCACGGTGGCTGAGTGGTTAGCACTCTCACTCCCAGTCGGAACAGGGCCTTTCTGAGTGGAGTTTGCATGTTCTCCTTGTGTCTGCGTAGGTTTCCTCCGGGTGCTCCGGTTTCCCCTACCACTAAAAATATGTGCAACAGTTCAGGGTGAACGAGTGTGTGTTTGTGAGAGCGACTGTGGGACAACAGATGGAAATCAGCCCATGGCTATAATCCAGAGAGTGTGTACTGTCCCAACCAAATGAACAATAAATAAATAAATAAATAGTCATAATAGTTGTATCAATAATAGTAGTAGTAATGCATCTTTTTATAGTGTCTACAAAGCACTGCACAGTTTGCATAAATAAACAATAGCCAATAAAACATAATAACACAAAGTCAAAATTATGAAAAATAGACACAGAAGAACCGAGCAGGCAGAGGACACACAAGAGGAAACACAAGAGGACACACAAGAAGACACACAAGAGGACACACAAGAGGACACACAAGAGGACACACAAGAAGACACACAAGAGGACAAACAAGAGGACAAACAAGAGGACACACAAGAGGACACACAAGAGGACACACAAGAGGACATACAAGAAGACACACAAGAGGACACACAAGAGGACACACAAGAGGACACACAAGAGGACACACAAGAGGACACACAAGAAGACACACAAGAGGACAAACAAGAGGACAAACAAGAGGACACACAAGAGGACACACAAGAGGACACACAAGAGGACATACAAGAAGACACACAAGAGGACACACAAGAGGACACACAAGAGGACACACAAGAGGACACACAAGAGGACACACAAGAGGACACAGAAGAGGACACAGAAGAGGACACACAAGAGGACACACAAGAGGACACAGACACAGTGAAACAGTAAAATACAAACATTAAGTTTAAAACTAGCAGTTAAAAGCTGTTTGATAAAAGGGATTTAAAGGAGAAAACAGATGGAGCCAGCGGTAGGTCTTATGGTGGGTTCAAGCCCACCATAAGACCTACTTCACGACTCCCACTGATGACTGCTGTCGTTGTGTCCTTGGGCAAGACACTTAACCCCACTTTGCCTGAAGCTCCCACTGAAAGATCTCAGCTCCTGTGGACTCACCACCTGCAGGAGGATCAGTGAGGGGCTGGTGCTGAGTGGACTGGGTGCAGCTCTGACTGCCACCCCCCCCCGACCCAGAAATGGATTAAGGGGAAGAAAATGAATGGATGGATGGACAGATGGAGCCTTATCTCGTGGAGCAGGTCGTCTCAGCGGTGGGTCCAAAGCCGAGGAGCACGGACAGAGAAGTCTCCATCAGGTTTCATCCGGAGCTCGACCTTGGAACAGTCAACAGGGACCGGCTGGAGGGTCTGAGGCTGCGGGGGTCCTAACGGGTAAACAGTCCGGTTCAGTTTGGAGCCAGACCTAAACAATCTTTGAAAGTGATGTTTAAAATCTTAAAATCAAAATTAAAATTCTAAAGCGCACAGGGAGCCAGTGGAGGGACGCTAACCCAGGGGGGATGTGCTCCCTTCTGTTAAAGCCATAAAGCAGACCATAATAATCCACATGCCAGCCCTACAAAACACACTTATATTTATTAAAGAAGCTAATTTAAGTAAGTTCCGCGGCTTTAAGTTCGTAACATCTGATTCCACATCCGGGCAGTTGTGCTGTGAGCGCGGACACAGACGGTGGCCCCGGCAGGACACAGCGGCTCTGGGCTCCTGATGCCTCTCGGTGCCAGCATCACGCTGCCAAGAGGGAGTGGAGCCAGCTCTAATGGGACCCACGGCAGAGCGGGCGCCAGGTTTCTGCGGCTTAAGCACGGAACAAGAGGTGTCGGCGTGTCAGAGTCAGAGTCCTCCAGATTTACTCCAGATTTACTCCAGCCTTACTCTGTGTTCTGCTCTGTGTTCTGCTCTGTGTTCTGCTCTGTGTTCTTCTCTGTGTTCTGCTCTGTGTTCTGCTCTGTGTTCTGCTCTGTGTTCTGCTCTGTGTTCTTCTCTGTGTTCTGCTCTGTGTTCTGCTCTGTGTTCTGTGACTCTCAGCCACTGATGGATGGTGTTGATTGGAGCTGATGGTCCAGTGTGTTCTGGACTCGCTTCTGTCATCACCGTGTGTGGAAGGATTGGAACAATATCTGACTCTGAACATTGTAAAGTGCTTTGGGTCTGTACCTTGGTTTGTAAAATGTGTTTTATGAATAAACTTTACTTACTACTACCTTACGTACTCTGTGTCTGCCGTTCAGGACTGTACCCACTGGAATCCCAGCCCCAATTTTTCATTTTTTCACCGTTTCAAATCCCACAAACTATGACACAAACACATAAACAGTGTCACACCAATGACATCCATAAGATTTTCTCTCATTCATGAATAATGGTTTTGATACATAATCCAGAATAGAAACATAGCAACATAGCAACAAAGAACCATAGCACAATAGCAACATAGATACATAGCAACGTAGCAACACAGATCTATAGAACCATAGCAACACAACAACATAGATACATAGCAATATAGTTACATGCTGTAGCAACATAGATACACAGCGACATATCAACATAGCAACATAGCTCCATAGCAATATAGCTCCATAGCAACATAGCTCCATAGCAACATAGATACATAGCAACTTAGATACACAGCAACATACTGTATCAACATAGCAACATAGCTCCATAGCAACATAGCTCCATAGCAACATAGATACATGCTGTAGCAACATAGATACACAGCAACATATCAACATAGCAACATAGCTCGATAGCAACATAGCAACATAGCTCCATAGCAACATAGATACATAGCTCCATAGCAACATAGCACCATAGCAACATAGATACATAGCAACATATCAACATAGCAACATAGCTCCATAGCACCATAGCACCATAGCTCCATAGCAACATAGATACATGCTGTAGCAAAATAGATACACAGCAACATATCAACATAGCAACATAGCTCCATAGCAACATAGCACCATAGCAACATAGATACATAGCTCCATAGCAACATAGCACCATAGCAACATAGCTCCATAGCAACATAGATACATAGCAACATATCAACATAGATACATAGCTCCATAGCTCCATAGCAACATAGATACATAGCAACATAGATACATAGCAACATAGATACATAGCAACATAGCACCATAGCAACATAACTCCATAGCAACATAGCAACATAGATACATAGCAAAATAGCTCCATAGCAACATAGATACATAGCAACATAGCTCCATAGCAACAAAGCACCATAGCAACATAGATACATAGCAACATATCAACATAGATACATAGCAACATAGCAACATAGATACATAGCAACATATCAACATAGATACATAACTCCATAGCAATATAACCCCATAGCAACATAGCTCCATAGCAACATAGATACATGCTGTAGCAACATAGATACACAGCAACATATCAACATAGCAACATAGCACCATAGCAACATAGATACATAGCTCCATAGCAACATAGCAACATAGATACATAGCTCCATAGCAACATAGCTCCATAGCAACATAGATACATAGCAACATAGATACATAGCAACATAGATACATAGCAACATAGCACCATAGATACAAAGCCCCATAGCTCCATAGCAACATAGATACATAGCAAAATAGCTCCATAGCAACATAGATACATAGCAACATAGCTCCATAGCAACATAGATACAAAGCAACAAAGCACCATAGCAACATAGATACATAGCAACATATCAACATAGATACGTAGCAACATAGCACCATAGCAACATATATACATAGCAACATAGCACCATAGCAACATAACTCCATAGCAACATAGCTCCATAGCTACATAGATACATAGCAACATAGCAACATAGATACATAGCACCATAGCACCATAGCAACACAACATGCAAATAAACCATGTACTACAACCAAATACAGGTTTTCTTTTTTTTTTTTGTGAATCTAATGAAGCGTCTGCATTGTGCCGTATGGTGAGGGGCCGTATGGTGAGGGGCCCCCAGGAGCCGCTCTCTGTGTGCGGCAGGTCTGTGTCAATTGTGCGTCAGGAGCTGGACGTCCCACTCTGACTCTGGGACATATGCTACAGAGGACTCCCGTGGACTCTGGACACACACACACACACACACACACACACACACACATACACATACACACACACTGGACACACAGGAAACACACACACACGCACACACATATACACACCGAACACCCAGTCAACACACACACAGGAGATACACACACGGGACGCTCACACCACCTGGACACACAGGCTACATGCATAGACACAAATTACACACACATATACACACAAACACACACCTCAAGGACGCAGAGCAGAAGTCGTAGAAGTGCTGACGTCTGGATCACATGACCTCGCTGTCAATCACAAACCAACGGGGAAATGATTGTATCATTTCAATATTCATCTGTCCCTTTGTCTCCTGTCCCTTTGTCTCCTGGGCCTCTGTGAGGACACATCTACGGGTTCTGTATACTTTTAACTCCCAGAGCAGTCATTTCTTTTGAGCAACCTAAAACAGCTAAATTAGCAATAGCTAATCCTAAATTAAGCATTAGCTCTCCTCTTTTTTCTCTCTTCTCTCTCTCCTCTCTCCCCTCTCCTCTCTCTCTCCTCTCCTCTCTCACCCTTCTTTCATCTCCCCTCCTCTCTCTCTCTCCTCCTCTCCTCCCCTCTCCCCCCCTCTCTCCTGACTTACCCGTCCCATGTCCCTCCGTGTGCATCACTGCAGAACCAAACACCTCCTGTTTATCCGTGTAGAGCAGGAGAATCTCCCTGTTTGTTGCTGTTGTGTGCGTGTGTGGAACTGTTGTGTGTGTGTTTGGGGAGCTGTTGTGTGTCTGTGTGGAGCTGTTGTGTGTGTGTGTGTGGAGCTGTTGTGTGTGTGTGTGGAGCTGTTGTGTGTGTGTGAAGCCCGGGCTCAGCGTGCAGCACCACGGACAGCTCCGCCTGTCCCGCCCTCATTATATTTTCACACTCTGCTGCCTCAGGACGCAGCATCTCCGCACGCTCTGCACGCTCCGGCTCTGTGTCTGCGCCTCTGTGGGGGGTCCTCAGGGTGTCATAATGGAAAGATGTCTCCCCAGCCAGGCCCTGGGGTTTGTGATATTAGTGTTTTTAAGAATACATTGTGAGGATTTTAGACAAGGTTTGATTATGTGTGGATTAGTTTGAGATTTCTGAATTTCTCCAGTGTGAGATCAATAAAGTCTATCTTATCTTGTTACTAGTCCAATGTGGTTTTACTGCAAATGGCAAATTTATCTCTCTCCTCTCTTCCATCTTCTCTCCTTCACAGTACTCTCTGGCTCCTGAGTCACATGTAAAAGTAAACTCCCCTAGCTCCGTAACCGTCTGTGTCACATTCACCATTTTGGGTTTAAAAATCCGTGGTCTAGCGCTCTCCATGGTCCTGGTGTCTGTATTGTGGAATAGTCTTTGTCCATCCAGGCATGAGCCATAGAATGATTGACCAATCAGATGGCTTCGTACACGACACATACAAACTCCAGCTTCCCTTAGCAACCATGTTAGCAACACATCACCCCCTGTTGCGGCGCTAAGCTAACACAAGCTAACACAGTCAGAACAAATGCCCTTATAAGAAAATTGGCTCCAGCTAGCTTATGTTCATGTGATAATTTTTTAGATTGTGGGTCCAAAATGACAAAAATGTGTGGTTTGAAAGTTACTCACCCCAGCTTTAAATGGTGTTAATCTTAGCTGCCTCTAAAGCGACGGCAAATACAAACACAGCTGAATAAATTAGCATCAGGGCTACAGAGATTCTTGCAGATTTCAGCGTTATGTCCACGTTGGTTCATAAACGAATAAATACATTATTAAAAAATATAGTGTGAAAATAAAAACAGATGCTCTTCTTTGTGGAGAATCAGAGGCTTTGTTTTTCATAGTGTCTCAGCACAGATTAGAAACACAACAATTGCTCAGTCTCTACTCTACTCTACTCTACTCTACTCTACTCTACTCTACTCTACCCACTGCAAACCATTTTTCGGATAAATTCCTTGGTAACCATGGCTTCCAGCAGCACTCTGACCAATGACTGTCAGTTAGAACACTTTAGTACCAGCTCGGCCTGGATAGAACCAGGACCAAGAGGGACTCAAGAAGGATCTGTCACTGTGGAGTAGAGTAGAGTAGAGTAGAGTAGAGTAGAGTAGAGTAGAGTAGAGTAGAGTAGAGTAGAGTAGAGTAGAGTAGAGTAGAGTAGAGTAGAGTAGAGTAGAGTAGAGTAGAGTAAGGTAAATACCAAGGAATTTCTTTGGATTCTGGTTTGTTGTGGGTTGATTGCTAGGATACGGTACCAGATACTAAAGTAGGAACGAGTAGAGTAGAACCGAGTAGAGTAGGGTAGAGTAGAGCAGGGCTGGTGGAAACGGGGCCAACAAGACTAAACGACAGAATCCTTTGATATGAATCTGAAACAGTATTGTCAGTAAAAGGTGATAATCCAGAAAACACAGAGTCAGAGGCTGTGACGCTTCGTGAATGAAGGATTTAAAACGTCTGAGTGGCGCCGATGCTCCCGAGGCCGGCGCATCCACCGTCTCGACGCCGGTGTCAGCGGCTGTGTTTACGCCTGTGTCAGCGGCTGTGTATGCGCCTGTGTCAGCGGCTTGTAAACGCGCCTGTGAGAGGAGCAGAAAAGGCTGATAAATGCACGCGCCTGTTCAGATTGCATTGTGCACCGAGCCAACTCATTTCACAGGTCAGTGGCAAAGTGTGGCGGCTGCTGCGGCTGCTGCGGCTGCTGCGGCGACTGTTTGCAAAAGCCTGGAGTGTGTTTGTTTTTGAAGAGAAAGGATTAAAAAACGGTGTCATTAAGTGAATTCTAGATGTTTTTTATGGGTTTCAAATCTCCAGCTTCCAGTGAATATAACGAGTCTGGATCAGGGCTGTGTTTTAGTAAGATGGCCGCTTTAGTTCTCCAGACTTAGACAATAAAAGTCAAAACGGGCTCAAATTTGGCAAAAAAGTTTCTTAATTTTAGAAGATTCTGACAAAGCCTTAAAACAAGATTTGCCGACGGGACGAAGCAAAATGATCTTGTTTTAAAATGATACAGAAATGTCTCTGTTGGAATGAGACATCTTGAAAGAATGTGTCGGATTAAGATAAAATCCACTCGATCCACGCATTTTTTATGTCATATTTTATCATTTTTGCAGTATTGTGTTGTTTTGGGTTTTCATTCATTCTAGATCAGCATTTTTTGATCTTTTGATTGCTGGCGCAGCAGAAATAATGGATTTACATGTTTGTGATTTGTTGTTGATGAGAAAACAGTGTTCAATGTGTAAAATGTTCAAAAACTCAAATCATCTCACGCACACTGGCCTCCTGCTGGGACTCTGAGGAGCACAGGGACTGGCCTCCTGCTGGGACTCTGAGGAGCACAGGGACTGGCCTCCTGCTGGGACTCTGAGGAGCACAGGGACCGGCCTCCTGCTGGGACTCTGAGGAGCACAGGGACTGGCCTCCTGCTGGGACTCTGAGGAGCACAGGGACTGGCCTCCTGCTGGGACTCTGAGGAGCACAGGGACCGGCCTCCTGCTGGGACTCTGAGGAGCACAGGGACCGGCCTCCTGCTGGGACTCTGAGGAGCACAGGGACTGGCCTCCTGCTGGGACTCTGAGGAGCACAGGGACCGGCCTCCTGCTGGGACTCTGAGGAGCACAGGGACCGGCCTCCTGCTGGGACTCTGAGGAGCACAGGGACTGGCCTCCTGCTGGGACTCTGAGGAGCACAGGGACCGGCCTCCTGCTGGGACTCTGAGGAGCACAGGGACTGGCCTCCTGCTGGGACTCTGAGGAGCACAGGGACTGGCCTCCTGCTGGGACTCTGAGGAGCACAGGGACCGGCCTCCTGCTGGGACTCTGAGGAGCACAGGGACCGGCCTCCTGCTGGGACTCTGAGGAGCACAGGGACTGGCCTCCTGCTGGGACTCTGAGGAGCACAGGGACCGGCCTCCTGCTGGGACTCTGAGGAGCACAGGGACCGGCCTCCTGCTGGGACTCTGAGGAGCACAGGGACTGGCCTCCTGCTGGGACTCTGAGGAGCACAGGGACCGGCCTCCTGCTGGGACTCTGCGGAGCACAGGGACTGGCCTCCTGCTGGGACTCTGAGGAGCACAGGGACTGGCCTCCTGCTGGTCCCAGAGTCAGAACTAAACACGGGGAGACCGCGTTTCTGATTCATGCTGCTAAAATATGGAACAATCTTTTTGAAAATGTGAGACAGGCTTCTTCTCTGACATAGTTTAGGTTAGAAAAAACTAAAGGATTTTATATTTTTATCTTTATTTTCAATGTACTGTGATTATTTATGGTTTTAACGCCTTGTTCGACGGTCTCTATCTTGTTTTGTTCAGCACTTTGAGTTGACAAATACAAGTGGTTGACTAGTGGATAGCACACTCGCTTCTCAGCAAGAAGGTTCGAATCCTGGTCGGAACAGGGCCTTTCTGAGTGGAGTTTGCATGTTCTCCCTGTGTCTGCGTAGGTTTCCTCCGGGTGCTCCGGTTTCCCCTACCACTAAAAACATGCACAATAGTCTGAATATAAATGAGAGAGTGAATGGATGGTGTTGGGTCAGAGGCTTTGATGGTCCAGTGTGTTCTGGACTCGCTTCTGTCATCACCGTGTGTGGAAGGATTGGAACAATATCTGACTCTGAACATTGTAAAGTGCTTTGGGTCTGTACCTTGGTCTGTAAATGCGCTACATAAATAAATATTACTTTCTTACTTACATCCTGATATTGCACGTACTTATATTGCACACGCTTGACCCTCCCTCTCTCTTGTGTCCGCAGTGCTCCTGGTGTGTGTGGCGTCTGCGGCGGGGGGTCAGGACGGCCCTCACTTCTCCCCCTCCCTCCCCACGTACCTCCCGGCCCAGTGCCAGCTGAGCGGCGCTGACTCCGCCTTCTTCCTGCGGGAGGCGGGACAGGACGTGATGCGCAACGGGAGCCTGTCCTCGCGCTCCGAGCCCTTCCTGCTGCAGCGGCTGGAGGCGGGGCTTAGCGCGCCGCACGCTCTGCCGTCCGTCAACTGTAGCTACGGCAACATGAGCGCGGAGCAGCCCGTCCCACTGGAGCTGCTGCAGGGGCCCCAGCTCAGCCTCGGCACCAGCCACGTCACCCTCAACTGGAGGGTCCGCGGCCACATCGTCCTGCCCAAGGTCGGGTCGGCGCGTCCGTGGATACAGGTACGGGCTCAGTGGTACGGGCTCAGTGGTACGGGCTCAGTGGTACGGGCTCAGTGGTACGGGCTCAGTGGTACGGACTCAGTGGTACGGACTCAGTGGTACAGACTCAGTGGTACGGACTCAGTGGTACGGACTCAGTGGTATGGACTCAGTGGTACGGACTCAGTGGTACGGACTCAGTGGTACGGACTCAGTGGTACGGTCTTAGTGGTACGGACTCAGTGGTACGGACTCAGTGGTACGGACTCAGTGGTACGGACTCAGTGGTACGGACTCAGTGGTACGGACTCAGTGGTATGGACTCAGTGGTACGGACTCAGTGGTATGGACTCAGTGGTACGGACTCAGTGGTACGGACTCAGTGGTACGGACTCAGTGGTACGGACTCAGTGGTATGGACTCAGTGGTACGGACTCAGTGGTATGGACTCAGTGGTATGGACTCAATGGTACGGCCTCAGTGGTACGGACTCAGTGGTACAGACTCAGTGGTACGGATTCAGTGGTACGGACTCAGTGGTACGGTCTTAGTGGTACGGACTCAGTGGTATGGACTCAGTGGTACAGACTCAGTGGTACGGACTCAGTGGTACGGGCTCAGTGGTACGGACTCAGTGGTACTGTCTACAGCGGAATGTTTTTATGAAGTGTTAGAGAGAGAGAGACCTGAGAGAGACGAGAGAGAAAGCAAGACCAGAGAGAGAGAGACCAGGGAGAGTGAGAGAGAGAGAGACCAGAGAGAGAGAGAGACCAGGGAAAGAGAGAGACCAGGGAGAGACCAGAGAGAGGCCAGAGAGAGACCAGAGAGAGAGAAGAGAGAGGGACTAGTGAGAGACCAGAGAGAGACCAGAAAGAGACCAGAGAGAGAGAGAGACAAGAGAGGGGCCTGGGAGAGCGAGAGAGAGAGAGAGAGAATGAGAGACCAGAGAGAGAGAGAGACAAGAGAGGGACCTGGGAGAGCGAGAGAGAGAGAGAGAGAATGAGAGACCAGAGAGAGAGAGAGACAAGAGAGGGACCTGGGAGAGCGAGAGAGAGAGAGTGAGAGACCAGAGAGAGACCAGAGAGAGAAAGAAACCAAAGAGACCTGAGATGTTATACTTTCTTTGTGATGCAACACTGACATTTCCCTCAGGACCAGTGCAGGACCTCTCAGGGACCTCTGACCATGTGTCCTCTCCCCAGGTCCTGTTCTACCTGGTGGGACGGCGCTGGGACGAGCCCGACCCCCTCCCGCTCGACCTGCTCCCGTGCGTGCGAGCGGTGGCCGTGCGGGACCCCTCTGACTCCTCCCCCTCCGCGGGCTGCCGTCTGGTCGGACCCTCGGGTCTCTGCGTGGTGCGCCTGGAGATCCCCCCGGCCTGGTTCTCCCCCCAGCACGCCCGCCGTCGCCCCCCCGCAGAGGCCACCCTTCCCTCCCTGGACGTCTACTACTCCATCGTCCCGGCAGAGGGCCCCGGTCCGGACTGTCCCGCCGTGGTCAACGAGGCCTGGAAGAGTCCCAATGTAGGACCGCTGGGAGGGCTGGGGCTGGGGATGGGGCTGGGGGGGTCCTGGAGCTCGCTGGGGGAGGGGGGACTTCAGGATATGCAGAAGATTGGCTCCGTGGTGATGTCCGTGGGCCCAGTGTCGGTCAAAGGAGACCGGCTGCGGCTGGACGAGAACGTGGAGGTCCTAGTGCCCCCCAGTCCGGTGCGGCTGGGGAAGACGGTGGCGTTTGGAGTCTACATGACCACGGAGTCGGCGGTGGAGCAGTTCACGCTGAGGTAGGAACGATGGTGCGAGGTTGTGATGGTGCGAGGCTGCGATGGTTCTCAAGCTGCGGAACGGGAGCTGTGTGGTTTATTATCAAAGAGTTGAATCTGAAAGAGTGAAATCAGAGACGATTGATTTGAGATTCTGTGGTTAGTCTCCAGCAAAGGCTCTGGTTATTCTGAGAGAGAGACCAGAGAAAGACCAGAGAGAGGGACCAGAGAGAGACTAGAGAGAGACCAGAAAGAGAACAGAGAGAGACCAGAGAGAGACCAGAGAGAGAGAAGAGAGAGGGACCAGAGAGGGACCAGAGAGAGACTAGAGAGAGACCAGAAAGAGAACAGAGAGAGACCAGAGAGAGACCAGAGAGAGACCAGAGAGAGAGAGAAGAGAGGGACTAGTGAGAGACCAGAGAGAGACCAGAGAGAGACCAGAGAGAGACCAGAAAGAGACCAGAAAGAGACCAGAGAGAGACCAGAGAGTGACCAGAGAGAGAGAAGAGAGAGGGACTAGTGAGAGACTAGAGAGAGACTAGAGAGAGACCAGAAAGAGACCAGAGAGTGACCAGAGAGTGACAAGAGGGAGAGACCAGAGAGAGAGAAGAGAGAGGGACTAGTGAGAGACCAGAGAGAGACCAGAAAGAGACCAGAGAGGGACCAGAAAGAGACCAGAGAGAGACCAGAGAGTGACCAGAGAGAGAGAAGAGAGAGGGACTAGTGAGAGACCAGAGAGAGACCAGAAAGAGACCAGAGAGGGACCAGAAAGAGACCAGAAAGAGACCAGAGAGAGACCAGAGAGTGACCAGAGAGAGAGAAAAGAGAGGGACTAGTTAGAGACCAGAGAGAGACCAGAAAGAGACCAGAAAGAGACAAGAGAGAGACCAGAGAGTGACCAGAGAGTGACCAGAGAGAGACCAGAGAGTGACCAGAGGGAGAGACCAGAGAGAGACCAGAGAGAGACCAGAGAGAGAGAAGAGAGAGGGACTAGTGAGAGACCAGAGAGAGACCAGAAAGAGACCAGAGAGGGACCAGAAAGAGACCAGAGAGTGACCAGAGGGAGAGACCAGAGAGAGACCAGAGAGAGACCAGAGAGGGACCAGAGAGTGAGACCAGAGAGAGACCAGAGAGTGAGACCAGAGTGAGACCAGAGAAAGGCAAAAGAGAGAAACATACAGTAGTACAACAAAATTTTAGGTCACAGCAGCTGCTGGTGTTGAGCTGCTTCCTCTGGTTGATGATTGATTTTCTCAGCTCTGGTTCAGAGTGAATTTCTGAATGCTTTATACTGAAAAAGAAATGGCGTTCCTCTGGTGGATTTCTGCTTGATCATGCCTGGTCGTGAATCCTCTCTGCTCTGGTCTGGATCAGTGTAAAACCATGAAGACCTTTTTCAGAACGGCTCACGACTCACACACAAAAGTAAACACACAGGACAGTCATAAGAACACACACGGAGCACATATATAAAAATATATCATGTTTTTCATGTATCCAAACACCTCCTCTGTCCACTCGAAGTTGCCAGAAGAAAACTGTTTTATACATTAGTCAAGTGTCCTTTAGCGGCCCGGTTTATTTGTGTAATGGACCTGATCCTTTCACGGAATGAGCTGAAGTTTGGCACATATTTTCATATATTCAGATAGAATCTTTTATTTTTAGAAACAAAGGGATTACTTTCATATAGTAAAGCAATTCAGTGTGAAACCAGACCATCATTTTTTTCTCAAGTTTAATTTTTTGAACATTTTGACAAAAACTTTCCAAGGTAAAGCTAAAGTTGCACTTTATTGATCCCTGTAGGGCAATTCATCCTCTGCATTTGACCCATCCAGATGCTGCTAAGGCTTACGTCAGGAGCAGTGGTCGCCGTAGTAACAGCGCCTGGGAACCCATCTCCAGATGTTGATGCTCGGCTTGGTCAGGACCAGAGCTGGAGGATTTGACTTAGTGAGCATGTTTTTAGTGGTAGAGGAAACCGGAGTATTGGGAGGAAACCGACGCAAGCACGGGGAGAACATGGAAACTCCACTCAGAAAGACCCCGTTCTGGCCGGGATTCGAACCCAGGACCTTCTTGCTGAGAGGCGAGAGTGCTATCCACTGCCGTGCCGCCCCCTTTTTTGATTTTATCCACACAGTCTGATACATTTTAGTTTTGAGTAATAACCTTTTAAAGTTCAGATACTTTAATTAACACTTTGTTGTGAACACAGTCTGAAAGTGTGTGTAAATGCTTCTCCAACAGCTGCACGTGCTTTATAAGAGGAGCCATAAGTATATATCAAGCACATGTTTTCACTTTCAGACCTACTGTTTTTGCCTATGTCCTTTCTCTCTCTCTTTTGCCTTTTTTTGCCTATTATTGAGGCTGAAAAAGGCGTCACCTGCGGCAAAATACTCTTTTAAATCTTCCCTTTGACTTGTTGTTGGGCTATGGTCCCGTCAGCCGTCGTCACTCCGCCCTCTCTGATTCCTCTCGTTTCATCTCTGCCTTTTTTCTCCCGAGCTTCTCATCTGTGAACACTGCAGCCTCCAGAGGTTGATGGCTGTCACCTTTGTGTACCCAGGAGTCACAAATGCAAATAACAGCCTCATGAATATTCAACAGGGCACAGGAGACGAGGAGAAGGAACCACAGAGAAGGAGAAGCACGAGAGAGGCCTGAGTCTTTAGGCCAAACCAGGAACACACCAAACCACCGTCTCTGCAGGTGCAAGAGGGGAGGTTTCTCTACAGGGACCAGAGAGAGACCAGAGAGAGAGAGAGAGAGAAGAGAGTAAAGAGAAAGAGACTAGAAAGAGAGACCTGTGAGACAGACCTGAAAGAGAGAGACCTGAGAGAAAGACGAGAGAGAAAAGAGAGAGACGTGATAGAGTGTGAGACCACAGAGAGATTAGTGAGACCTGAGAGAAAGACTTGACATAGAGAGACTAGAGAGCAAGACTAGAGGGAGACCAGAGAAAGAGAGACCAGAGAGAGAGCTAAGAGAGAGACCTGAGGGAGAGACCTGAGAGAGGGAAGCGTGTGAGACCACAGAGAGAGAGACGAGAAAGAGACCAAAGAGGGATTAGAGACACACCTGAGAGAGGGACCAGAGAAGGTGAGACCAGAGAGAGAGGCCAGAGTGAGAGAGACAAGAGAAAAGAGAGAAAGAGACTAGAAAGAGAGACCTGGGAGAGGCAGACCTGAAAGAGAGAGACCTGAGAGAAAGACAAGAGAGAACAGAGAGAGACCAGAGGGAGAGAAAGTTTGAGACCACAGAGAGATTAGTGAGACCTGAGAGAAAGACCTGACATTGAGAGACCAGAGAGAGAAAGACTAGAGGGAGACCAGAGAAAGAGAGACCCAAGAAAGAAAGACCAGAGAGAGAGAGAGAGAGCAGAGCAAGAGAGGCCTAAGAGAGAGAACAGAGAGACCAGGGAGAGAGACAAGAGAGAAAGAGACTAGAGAGAGAGACCTGAGAGACATACCTGAAAGAGAGACCTGAGAGAAAGACAAGAGAGAACAGAGGGAGACCAGAGGGAGAGAAAGTTTGAGACCACAGAGAGATTAGTGAGAACTGAGAGAAAGACCTGACATAGACAGACCAGAGAGAGAAAGACTAGAGGGAGACCCGAGAAAGAGAGACCCGAGAAAGAGAACAGAGAGACCAGGGAGAGAGACAAGAGAGATGAGAGAAAGAGACTAGAGAGAGGCCTGAGAGAGTGTGAGACCACAGAGAGAGGGACCAGAAGGAGACCAACGAGGGATAAGTGTGAGACCTGAGAAAAAGAGACCAGAGAGAGAACTGAGAGAGAAAAGAGTGTGAGACCACAGAGAGAGACCAGAGTGACACCCGAGAGAGAGACCTGAGAGAGAGACAAAAAAGAGAGACCAGAAAGAGTGACCAGGGATAGAGAGACCAGAGAGAGAGAGAGAATAGGGGGAGACCACAGAGAGAGAGCAGATTAAGACCAGAGAGAGACCAAAGAGGGATTAGCGAGGGACCTGAGAGAGAGACCAGAGAGAGACATGAAGAAGTAAGACCAGAGAGAGACCAAAAAGAGAGAGAGAGAGAGACTATTTTAATACTTTTTATGGTATAATTCATTCCCTAATTTTCCGCCGCAGCCACAGAACTAAACTTTTCATCAGTTTTCATTAGTTTTAGTCATTTCTAAAGCAAAATGACTTTCTATACAACTGTCTTCAATTACCTGACGCTATGTTAATGTTTTTATGTTGGTGTGAAAACCCGTTTGTGGAGGCGGGTCTTCCACAGAGGTGTGAACGCTCAGATGCAGATGTGAGTTTGTCTATTAGCCTCAAGCTGAGAGACGGATAATGACTTTGCCTTTGATATAAAAGAAAAATAACACTTTTTGATTTCTGGTGTCTGGGCCCACTTTGTCTCACATCCATATGGTTTCCACTGTACCATGTGGCTGGTGACGAGGGAATACAGTTGGTTGATATTTATCCCATGGTCGGTGACGGTTGCAATTCCTTGGTAGCTCGGCTGGGATAGAACCAGGTCTCTGATGGGATAGAATCAGAGACCAGAGAGAGACCAGAGAGAGACCAGAGAGAGACCAGAGAGAGACCTTAGAGAGACCAGAGAGAGACCAGAGAGAGACCTTAGAGAGACCAGAATGAGACCTTAGAGAGACCAGAGAGAGACCAGAGAGAGACCAGAGAGAGACCAGAGAGAGACCAGAGAGAGACCAGAGAGAGACCTTAGAGAGACCAGAGAGAGACCAGAGAGAGACCAGAGAGAGACCAGAGAGAGACTAATGAGAGAGACCTGAGAGAGACCAGAGAGAGACCTTAGAGAGAGACCAGAGAGAGACCAGAGAGAGACCAGAGAGAGACCAGAGAGAGACCTGAGAGAGACCAGAGAGAGACCAGAGAGAGACCTTAGAGAGAGACCAGAGAGAGACCTGAAAGAGACCAGAGAGAGACCTTAGAGAGAGACCAGAGAGAGACCAGAGAGAGACTAGAGCGAGACTAATGAGAGAGACCTGAGAGAGCAACTAGAGAGAGACCAGAGAGACCTGAAGAAGACCTGAAAAAGATCATAGAAAGTCCAGAGAGAGAGACCAGCGAGAGACCAGCGAGGGACCTGAGAGAGACCAGAGAGAGAGCCTTGTGTATTAATATAAAATAAGATAAGATAAACTTTATTGATCTCAGAATGGACAGATTTAAAAATCCAAATTTACTAAATACATTCTTTCATCTGGTTTCATTATTTACCAGTTTTTACCCACAATGCTTTGTAAACACAGAGATAATATCCACTTCTGTTTCGTCTCCCTCTGATCCTGCTGCTGCCGTAGAGTGTGTAGATCATGTAGATTGTGTAGTGTGTGTAGGTTGTGTAGTATGTGTAGGTTGTGTAGTGTGTGTAGTGTGTAGGTTGTGTAGTGTGTGTAGTGTGTAGGTTGTGTAGTGTGTGTAGTGTGTAGGTTGTGCGGCGGCCCCTGTGGCTCTTGGCCCCTGCCCCGGCACACGCTCTCAGCATAATCTCCCATGTTGGATCCTGGTTAGACGTGTAATAAGCCTTAAGTGGATGTCAGCCCGCGGCCTGTGTGTGTCTGTGTGTGTCTCTGTGTGTGTCTCTGTGTGAGTGTGAGGGTGTGTGTGTGTCTGTGCTTGTGTGTGTATGCATATGTATGTGCATCAATGTCTCTGCTTCTGTGTGTGTGTGTGAGAGCATTTATGTGCAAGTGTAAGTGTGTGTTTGTTTGTGTGTGTGTGTGTGTGTGAGTGAGTGTGTGTCGGTGCTTGTGTGTGCTTGTGTGCTTATATGTGTGTGTGTAGGTATGTGTGTGTGAGCAGCATGTGTGCATGTATGAGAATATGTGCGTATCTATATATATAAAAAATGTGTGTGTCTTTGGTTGTGTGTATGTGTTTGTTTGTGCATGTGTTTGTGCGTGCGTGTGTGTGTGTGTATGTGCGTGTGTGTGTGTGTGTGTAATGCATGTTGTCTTTGCCTGTGCGTGTGCTTGTGTTTGCAAAGGTGTTGTGTAAGTGGTTTTTATCTATAAGCATATGTGTGCGTAACTATGTGTGTATGTGCATATATGTATGCTTGTGTGTGTGTGTGTGTGTGTGTGTGTATATGTGTGTGTGTGTGTGTATATGTGTGTGCAATAATACGCCTTAAGTGTGGCCCATCACTCGCGGCTGATGCGATTATGATAAACTGCTTGAGGAAGAACTCGCCGCACACACACACACACACACTGACACACAGACACACACACACACCGCACACACAACACAACACACTGCCACACACACACACACTGCCACACACACACACACACACTGCTGCTGTCTCACTTGTCACGGAGCTTGTAGTGTGACATCACTTTACACCGGTCTCGTCCATAACTGATGAGAGACTCTGCTTTCTCTGACAGACCAACCTCAGGCCCGCGGGTCAGATGCGGCCCGCTGTAACATGCTAGGTGGCCGTCACACAGATGCTAACACACGGTTCTTTCAGAGTCATCCAGCCAACTCCAGCTCCATCAAAATAGTCGTGTTGTACCTTGTTGTGAAGCTCAGACCCTGTGGAATCCAGATGTTACGATCAGACAGACTTTATTGATCTCACAAAAGAGTGGGATTCAAACCCACGCCTCCAGGAGGGACTGCGGCCCAATCACTGCGCCTTGGATGTTTTAGTAGTTTGCTCCGATCTGTGTTGTAGGCGGGGTATGTGGTCTCCGAGGGCATGTTCTAGTTAAAAGCTGAAGTACCTAGTTTTCTGTTTTTTTTTTTTATTATACGTTTTCATAATCGTATAAAATGCATGACAAACACACACACATACAAACACATATAAATATATATATACAGTGCCTTGCGAAAGTATTCGGCCCCCTTGAACCTTTCAACATTTCGCCACATTTCAGGCTTCAAACATAAAGATATCTCCGTCCCAGTCTCAGGTCTTTTGCAGACTCCAACAGGTTTTCTTCCAGAATGGTCCTGTATTTGGCTCCATCCATCTTCCCATCAATTTTAGCCATCTTCCCTGTCCCTGCTGAAGAAAAGCAGGCCCAAAGCATGATGCTGCCACCACCATGTTTGACAGTGGGGATGGTGTGTTCAGGGTGATGAGCTGTGTTGCTTTACGCCAAACATATCGTTTTGCATTGTGGCCAAAAAGTTTGATTTTGGTTTCATCTGACCAGAGCACTTCTTCCACATGTTTGGTGTGTCTCCCAGGTGGCTTGTGGCAAACTTTAAACGAGACTTTTTATGGATATCTTGGATAAATGGCTTTCTTCTTGCCACTCTTCCATAAAGGCCAGATTTGTGCAGTGCACGACTGATTGTTGTCCTATGGACAGACTCTCCCACCTCAGCTGTAGTTATCTGCAGTTCATCCAGAGTGATCATGGGCCTCTTGGCTGCATCTCTGATCAGTCTTCTCCTTGTTTGAGATGAAAGTTTGGAGGGACGGCCGGGTCTTGGTAGATTTGCAGTGGTCTGAAACTCCTTCCATTTCAATATAATTGCTTGCACAGTGCTCCTTGAGATGTTTAAAGCTTGGGAAATCTTTTTGTATCCAAATCCGGCTTTAAACTTCTCCACAACAGTATCTTGGACCTGCCTGGTGTGTTCCTTTGTCTTCATGGTTCTCTCTGCGCTTTAAACAGAACCCTG